ATGTATGTATGTATGTATGCACACATCTGCATACAGTGTATTGAAATATATGTGTATATATATATATATACATATATATATATATATACATATATATATATATACAGACATATATATATATATACATATGTTGCATGTGTTCGTGTATGTGCATATATATATATATACATATACATACATGTATGTTTGTATATTTTGTAATACATATATATATATATATATGTGCGCACTATGTGTATGTATGTATATATATATACTGTTTATTCACAAACAGGTACATCTGTTTGCATCATCCACATGTCCTTCGTCCGTGTATGTCCGACAGCATGTTTCATGATGATTTGGCTTCACGTGAGCAAGAAGGCGGCCTTGGAGAGCAGACTGTAAGACCTGCATAGGTGCCTCCGATGCAGTTGTGGCTCCGGTGGACGGCAGCACTGGTCTACTCATCTGAGGCTGTGCCTTGTGGCAGACTCTGCTGTCGTGTTGAGCTTGATGGCTCTGTGCACCTCAAAAAACGGCGAAATGCATCCGACCAGCTGTGTAAAAACCTGACAAGGCACCCGAGTAGCGTCGCGCAATCTCGGAGATGTGCAGGCGCCTATGCCAATGCAGAACCACAGATTACGAAAAACTGCACGCGGTGGCCGTCGCCTCGCTTTGATCTTTTCGATTTGAGCTTTCGCCTGACATTGCTATAGGAAGGCCAATGCCAGTGCACGAACCGGCAAAGGTCGGCCTCCTCCACGCTCGGCCTGCAGTCCGAAGGCGACAAGACCCAAGAACGAAGAGCCATGTCATGCCATGTCCAGGCAGGAGGCAAGGCGATCTCGGTCTCGTCGGCCTCATGAAAACAAATTTCTCCTTCACGGCTACAGTCGAAATCTTCCGTGCCTTTTCTGTGGGGAAGAAGTCCAGGGGGTGAAGGCCATCCGTCACCTCAACTGACTGGCTCAGCCGCCGCGACAGGAGTGTCGACAATCCTCGCTGTTTCTGTGCCCAGTCACATCCGTTTCGCGCTCGTCCTCCTGCAGGTCGAAGAACTCCTGCTGCACCGTTGCTATGATATGTGCCTGAAGCGACAGAACGTGAATATGGTCCTGGTCGATATCACTTTCGGAGGTCGAACAGTCGGACGACTCCTCAAACATGGACGACACATGAAGCACGGGAACACATAGGCATTCAGCTCCCCGCAGCTCGAAGCAGCTTCAAACTTGCTACTAGTAACAGCTCACTCTGTTCCGACAGAGTCCTCGGCAGTGCACGTCACCTGGAAGAGCAGGAAATAACATGAAAAAATGTCGACAGCTCGGTAGCCAGCTCAGCGTATGACCAACAAGTGCACAGACCCGTTGTGCGTAAACATCATACATGATATCGAATATGAAGTGCTTGACAATCCTGACTTTTCCCGCCTTCCGGAAGTTTTGACAAGGAAGGGTAGAGCGCGTGGTGTTCTTGGGGGACGCGTGTCGGTCAACTGCGAAGGATTCCGTGCGCATGTGGTGGTTTGACGGAAGCGAGTGCCTGATGGGACGGAGGGTTCACAGAAACCAATTACTGCACACACGGAGGGTTGGCAAATGAGCGGGCAAGTGCAAGAAGTGGGAACGCCCACGTTCCTGTCCTATATTACGCATGTTTGCACAATTCCCGTTCTCGTTCGTGTGCAAACATGCTTTCAAGCATAGTCATAGGCTTTGTTTGAAAATCGCTTTTAAACCGGAGGGTTGTTCGCAGCACAAGACAGAAGATTAGTGGGTTGGCTGCAAATTTTCAAAACCAGCCCCAAAGCCCCTCTAAATATTATAATATATATATATATCCACATACACATTCCTTACCGATTGGCATGATTGAAATTTGTAGAAACACAACTCGCTAGAAACCCAAATTCGTACACTGAGCGGCAGATTTGCACACAGGTTGATTTGAGCACTGACTAGCTGGATTCGTGCAGCGGCAAAATACAGCAAAACCCTGCAGGGTCCAAGCCCCACCAAGACGCGCTCAACCCTGACATCCTTAACTCTAGACTCTAAACCCTAAAAAACGAAGCTCCCACTACCTAACACCGGGAAACCCTCAAAGCCCGAAATCTAGGCTGAAGAATAAGCCGTTAAACTCAGCATTCAATAAAATTTGAAACTCATAGACCCGATATAGATGCGTTAGATCCTGAAACCACAAACACCGTCAAACCCAAACGAAGCCCCTGCCGTAAAACGAAAAAATTGAATTCACACCCTAAACTCCTAAATCAAAACCCCTCATCACAAATAAACTTTAGTTGCGCTAAACCACTGCACGAAGTAAACTTTGAACTTCTCACAAAATTAACGTGCTTGCATCGGCTTGTGTGCTGAAATCGCAGGTGCGGGCATCGGGATCGTGCTCGAATCGAGCATGCTCGCATCACGTGTTCAAGAACCACACGTCCTTGACTCGCGGGCTCTCGATCGTTGGAGGATAACCCCCACTCACTCTCACGCCCATCCCTACTAGTCCTCGCGGTCTCTCGCTCACGCGGACATACCCTATTTGGGTTCCCGAATGCGGTTTAAGGCATCTGCTCTGAGTCTGCTGCTCTTGGTTTACATGTTTTGTAATTGCACATCACAGCGCAGAGAAAACAATGAACAAGCCATATGACTTGCCAAGAAATGTATAGCACAACAACATGCAGCAACAGCTAAGGTTTGCTTTGTAATGCGAAAAGTATGTGTTCCTTGTCTCTTTACTTTTCTTGTCTAGGCCCAGTCCTAAGCGAGAAGAGACCGTAGCTGAAAGACCCCATTTCGTAGCCAATATGCTGCAACAAGTCTTAGCTGCAAACGAAACTACAAATCCCTGACAAATTTTCCGGGGAGCCCTGGACCCAAAACAAGCAGGAAACCCCTAGGCCTGCAACTAGTAGTGAGCAAGCCCGGAACCAAAACAGATGGCAGGACCGAAAAGGGCAGGAAGTCCTCAGCAAAGCCTTGACCCTAGCACTGACGGCGACGCGAGTCTCACTAAGGAGAACTCGGGCGAGTGTGTGACGCGCCATACTTCCCAGTGGCCATCTCAAAGTCTCATAAAACAAAGGCAGACAAGGGCAGGCAGCCACAATGCTAACAACTGAACTTACTCCGCATCTCGTAAGGTTGCCAAGGATCATTTCATGGGCTGTCGCCTGTACATGAGTGCTGAAGTCTGACATTGATACTTAGCGTCGTTTGTGCTTTCTTGCGCTGCTGTGCATGCATTGGCTTGAAAAAGCATTGTGTCACCGAGGGCCGGAAGAGGGCCCCTTTAGGAGGACTCCCGGAGTCCCCAGGGAACCGTCGAAACGCCGAAGGAACCCCCTAACGACCGCTCCAGGCCAGGCCTCGGAAGGGCCGGAGCGGTCCTGAAGGGTGACGACACCTTGGGGGCCGTCGCGGCTACATCCCGATTGGAGACGGTGTCCAAGCAAGCATTCAAACCATTCAAAAAAAGCGCTGGTCAATCGGGGGAAGCTGCCCAGGCAACGTTTTCGGGATTTCTAAACCAAACATGCTCGTTTCAACTCTTCGGCCGAGTCGCAGACTTAATTAAACTTCGTGTCGCGGTTGGCCATGTCTTGAGCCTGCCTGGATGCCTAGTGTACTTAGTAGCAGGGACTGAACACGAGAGAGGTGGGCTCTTCCTCAGCTAAGCTCTGCACTGACGTCTGCCCAGGAGAACTCGTCGTTGCGCATGTCATCCCCGGCATTCATGACAAGCTCAGAGTCTATGAACAACTAAAGTTACTGAGCTCTTGATGCCATACTGCCATGACACAAACGAGGTGATTGTTCTGTAGCCACAACTTCAGAATGCTGAACGGTTGCCACGACCCCACAGCTGATGTGACGACACTCTAAGTTTGCGTCGAAATGCGCCGCTGCATGCCACAGGTACGAATCTCTTGCAATGCACAGGAACCCATGTGACTTTTCTGAAGTAGTAGTGTGTTTTCGACTGCAAATCGACAATGATAGCCGAAGCTTCGGCTTCGCAGCTCCTGTTCATCTATCAGAATCTCGCACTTCTCGCACAGCCGTTGCCACTCGACGCCATCGCAGCTGCCGAGGTCGCACATGGTGAGAAGGAGCTGAAGTGAGCCTCCTCAGCCCCGCCGCAGCCCGCCGCGGTCCCGCAATTCCACTTCGACTTCGTGGCCACGCGCAGGTTCTCCACGAGGCCATACGAGGACACTCCAGCAGCCACACAGAGGCCAAACGAAAGTCTCGAACTCCACCTCGAAAGTCTCGAACTCCTCTCAGCCACCAATCCTGACAGGCACATCCACGCGCCAAGTCAATATTCCAGAGCACAAGCTCGAGGGCCCACGGCCAAGCCCCAGCTGGCAGAGGTCGTCCTCTCGCTTGGTCGCGGGCGCTTCAGAGGAGGGACGTGGCCAGGGAGTACCAACAATCGGCTGCGACCTCCCAGGGGCAAAAAGGCACGAGACGAGGTGACGGCACGGCACCCTCTGCCCTGAGGCCACCTTGCAGCTTTGAGGCCTGCCATGGCGCGACATGTCGCTTCTCACCGCTTCGCAGACTTGGGCCCCGGGCCTCGACCTCGTCCTTGCATGCCGCCGTCCCTTCAGCCGTTGACCTCAAAGCAACGCGCGACCGCTCCGCGACCGTGTCAACTGCGACTGATCGTAAAATGCAAGATGCACCTTCCACGGTCTTCTGCAGGCTTACCTTCCAAAGATTGTTCTCGAAACGATCATCTCATAGCTTCTTGCAGCTGAAGCGCTCACAAACGGCAGGCCTTGCACAGTTCCGACGATCATGGGCGGTGGCGGCAACTCCACGGCTATCGCCACCTTCATGGCAGCTCAACAAACGAGTGACAGATTCTCCGAAGAACCATCTGCTTGATAGTTAGCAAAGCCATGCAAAGCCTTCTCAACCCTGATTGCAATGAAGTTTCACCTTCTCGGGATCACCATCTTCCACCGGATCGTCAGCATCATGCTGCAATGGGTTGAGTCGCTGCAGCGCCTGCATGCACTGACTTTTGAGCGGTGATTAAGGTTTCACAGTGATGACCCAAGAAGACGCAAAACGAAAGTCAGAGAAAGACAGCTACTGGTAGCGAGCCAGAGGAGGAGCCGAAGAGAAAGCAGCACATGGAGCGAGAACCCGTTGTCAAGCTGTACTTCGTGAAGTAGTTGTCTACAACAGCCAGCATCTTGTAGACAGCAGGCAAGGAACACTGGAACTGCAGACTTGGTGGCCACCCTCTGCGAATGGCTGGAAGCCGGAAGCCGCCTGGCGATGGGATGTGCGAGGTTCAGGAGGCTCTGCCGACCTGCTCCCACAGCCACAAGGGGTATCCATGTCATCACAGGTCACTTGCAGTGCCTTCTCCTTCAGCCTACCTCGACCCGCAAGGACAAGCGGCTCAGTGCACAGCTGCAACCGGAATCGGATCCTGCCCAGCCGCTCGACGTCTTCAAAGCGTGAGGGCGTGGCTCAGGCCTGGCGCCCAGACGTATCACAGCGCCAGCGGCCAGCGGAACCAGGACACCCTGAGGCCAGCTGGCAGATGCATCGTCGTTCGTACTACGACTATTACGAGCATGCCAAAGCTGCGAAGTAGCACGAATCATGTGCCTTTTTCAGCTTGATGTCATTCAGGAAGGTGCCGTTAGTGCTGGTATCCTCCAGTTCGACCCGTGGAGTGACCGCCAGCAGATCGCTGACAACAGTGCAGTGCAGGCCACTCACCTCATGGAGACGGATCTTGAAGGTTCACTTCCTGCAAAATCCATCTTGCTTCGACTACAGAGATGGACGACATCAACAAGTAACAACAACTCAACAACTTGGATCCGTGCCGTCTCGTCCTGGCACACCTGAGGGTGTCGAAAGCACGTCCCGATCATTACCTAGCTGCGGAAGCGTGAATAAATTCGGAGGACGTTCGAGTCGAAAAGCGAACGGGATCAAGTCAAGCTCACACCGAAGTGAGGGCACCTGCTTTTCCTTGCTGTGCAACCCAAGGCACAATCGAACATGTAGCTTTTCTGCCAATAGTAGTGGCACCGCTTTGAGGCAAGGGAAACCGGCCAGCCGAGAACCTCAAGCACGTCAGACTCCTCTTCCAGGATCTATTGAACAAGCAACCGCAGCGAAGAAACGAATGCTCTGTAGATGCCGCCAGTAGACCCCGGCAGACCCGCCGCACACGGAACCAAGAAGCCACATGCCATTAAGAATTCGTGTCCACATTAACGGTTCGAACACAGATCTTGCAAGCAGAGAGACACTGGGGTGTGGCTGCTCAGACTGTCTCACTCACCGTTAGCTCTCTGACCTACACACACTGGCGGACTGTAGGGCGACTGCAGGTGCAGCACACCGAGTCATGCTTTTTATCTAGCAGTTTTACTGCATGTCCAACGCAAGCTCCGGGAAGGTCTCTTCAGCAAAGGCTTCCTTCCCTGCCTTTTGACAAGCTCGCACCGCAGAAAGCAGAGTTTGTTCCTTTACCTTAGCTATCGTGACGGCTCCATCAAGCTGAAGCCAAGACCATAGATGCACATAAGTTGTCACATGATGCAAAGAGTGATCAGGGAACAATCGAGAGGCAGGAAGGCCCTTCTTGCGCATGCTGCATACCAGCTGAACAGCTTCTGCCCATTGACCAGCTTTCTCACAAACGGAGATGACAGAACTGTAAGTCAAGGCATCGGGCATGACTACTCGAGCCCACATATCCTCAAGGTATCCCATTGCCGTCCTCCACAAAGAGCCCTCGCCGGCAAGGATTATGCCCAGATTGTACAAAACCCAAGTAGGTTGCAAGTCGACCTGGAGCATGTTGCTCAGTGTGCTAACACCTCGTTCCCACTGACGTCCCTGTGCGCAGGCTGTGATGGTGGTGTTGTAGGTAGAGAAGTCCCAGCGTCTTTTAGCCGCATTCATGTCATCGAGCAACATTAGGACCCTCTGCCATTCACGTGCGTTGCAACTGGCTGACATTGCCAAGTTGTAAGAGACCATGTCAGGAGCTAGTGCTCCAGACAGCAGCGCTAGCACGGTCTCCCACTCCCCGGCTTGGCTGCAGGCAACCATGGCTGCGTTTGTCAGCACCACATCGCCGCGGCTTCTGGTGCCCGTGCGCTTTGCTTCTAGAAGACGGAGAGCTTCCTGCCACAGCTGAAGACGGCCAAACGCCGCGATGAAAGACTGAGACTCCTGACACGCAAGGCAGCAAGGCTGAAACGGATGAAATGGCAGCACCAGGCCTTGACCCTTGTGAGAAGCTCCGGCTGCTTCAGAACGTCTTCAGCAGCCATTTTTGCTTCCAAGGAGTTTGGGGCAAGCTGCTCCAAGTCACGTAAACGTCCCTGATTCCTGCAGCTGATGCCCATGGGCAGTGAAGATTGCACATGTCACGGATCTGTTGACGAAGTGGGGCCACTGATTTCAGATGGTTCTGGGCTGAGCATCACTTCGAAGCCTCGAGGATCCTGGTACTGCTCTATTTAAGGCTTCAATCAACAAGCCTGAAGGCTCTTTGCAAGCTGGGTGTCTCGACGGAGACGGCAGGTCCCTCAGGTGACCTTCTTCTTCTCAGCCTTCCTCGACCTCTTGGCTCCCTGGACAGAGCTCTATCGCCCGGCGCTTCCGAGGCTGTCGCAGACTTCGCCACGTCGGCAAAAAGCAGACCCGAGCACCAAATGCCAAGCAGTGCCACCCCCATGGTCAGATGAACCCGGCATCCAAACGCCCGCAGCCGTCGCCTAAGCGGGAGCTCTTTGCCTGCCATTGCCTTCACGGTGAAGTAAAGACGTGATGAAGACCCATGTCTTTCGAACATATCCTTTGATCAACACAAATGATGTCCAGAGTCGAGTTTAGAGTGTGTCATTTTGCCTCAAAACCTGTGCTTACTGAATATCCGACCCCTGTCAGCAGCGGCGTAATGTGCTTAATCGGAACCGCTCAGCACGGGGTCGAATTGCACTTGTGCAATCGCTTGTTGTGGCAATGCGCTGTGTCGATCGTGTCGGGTCTTCCCAGCACAGCAAAGCCGTGCTGTCAGGCCAGCTTCAGTGAAACAACTGCAACAGAAGTCCGTGATTGCAGACGACAGTAGTATTCGCGAGTCACCACCGTGAAAAGTCCACAAGATACGTCCACCGTGCTTCCTGGGCACAACACTAGAACATGTCTGTCGAATTCTGTCGACTTTGTCGCGAGGCGAAAGCTCATAGATGCAGGCGAGAGGCCTCGACAAAACCGAGCATGTGAGGATAGCCCCTCGGCCCAGCACGTCCCGGTAAACCCCGTGTACAGCTACGTGGGTTCGAGTTTTGTGCGGACAACGTCAGCCTTGCAGGCACTACGGTGCTGGAAAAAGCAGCCGTCTGGAAGCTACTGCAACCAAGACTCCATCCCCATCGGAGGGTGCCAGACAAGACCTCGCTCCATGGCATGCCCGCGCCCAGCAGCCGATCTGCGATCCAGCCCTGGCAGAGCTGGCATGCCGATCTGAGACAGCGAGTCAAAAAAACGCAATACGATCCAACAGGAGCAACGACCTCGTGGAGTGGCAAGTTGATGTTCATGAGAAAAACACTGCGCGGACGACAGTGCGTTTCCTTGCATTGAGCCCAGTTCGCAATAGCCACATTTCAGACAGACTCTCTTCCGACCCCCCTTCCCCGTTGCACAGACTCAGGGTCGAGAACGTGCCACTCTTCGATCGCCGGACCACCTGTGTCGATAACGGCGAGCTCCAGCGTCCTTGGCGCAGCAACCACAAGTGTGCACCAAGGTGCGAAAGAAGCACACCGCATGCTTGGCAAAGGAGTTCAAAGCCAACGCTAGCTGGGGCTAGCTTCGCTTAGAACTTCGCTTGCTATCATTTCTGCAACGCCGGCCTGTCAGCCAGCTCTTCACAAATCTCTCGCAGCGTACTCTGATTCCTCTGCGTCCGAGGACACCGGAAACAGTCCTCCCGCATGGAGTCAGCGAGGGGAGGTGACACAGGGTCAAGAGATCAGTCCAGCACATCAAAGGATCCTTCCATGGAACGTCCACAGCCCCTGACAGAATGGGCTGCTTGACCGACTGATGCTGCACCAACAAGCCTTCATTCTACCCTGCCGTGACCTTGCCTTGGGCAAAGCTCACTCGGATATGCAGAACCATGCACCGCAATCATCTTCGGCAAGGACCCCTGCCCAGTATGCAGAGGGGAATGCATCAATGGCCAAACGTTCGCCAGCCTGCAGATGCCGATGCAGGCGTCTTGCGAGGGGCAGCGGTTGCCCGCTGAGGCGACTAACCTCCAAGCCGTGTGCCTCAAAGGTACGTACGAGTCGCTACGTGCAATTGACGCCAACATATGCCCAACATCATACTCGAACGTCTCGATGCCTGTCCTGAATGCGCTGAGTGGCTGGCTGCTCGTTCAAGAAATCATCCTCGGCACAAGGTCTTCAGCCAAGCACTTGTAGCGTAAAGCCGGTCACACTAGTCCCTAGACCAAACGAGTCTCGATTGCTTCTGACCTCCCGTCGAAGCTCAACAGCACTGGAGGCTCCTGAAAGGAAAAGTTTCGGGAGCGCTGGGGGTGGGGGGTCGGGCCCCGTGGGCACTCCTGAGACGCAGAGCTCCTGGAGCCGCAGACAGGCAAAGCTTGCCCGCCCATCTCATCAGCCCGAACAGCCTCGCGGCTTCGACTGCATAGACTTTCGGAAGACGGAGCCTGCAGCATGCTTCTGAGTGTCGCCAGCCGAGCGGCTTGAATGGCGCGAGCCATCCCATCCACGAGCCTCACGGCCAGGGAAGAGCTCTCACTTTCAGCCTTTGCCTTGATTCCTCTTGCGCCTCTTCGTCAAGAAGCCACCACCCATGTACACTTCGACAGCGAAGGAGTTCTGCGGCTGGGAGATGCTGGCACTCGGCGCAATTCTCGGAGCTACTCGAGGGTTCCGCCTGTGGCCGGCAAGTGAAGGTCATCCACGCGATGCATCGCGCAGCACGTTGCAGGGTCTGCAAGTTCAGGTCGGGAACGAGGTCCTCCCAGGTGAGGCGGAAGTGGGAAGCCAGGTTGTGAAGCCCCTCCCCGTTGCTCCTGCAGAATCTCCGGAGATCCGTCCACCGGGCCAGCCGAAGCGCTTCTCAGCTGCGAGCAAGTGCGAGGAATTAAGAACATGTCCGCATAGGGCCGCAGTCTGCACCTGCAACGTTCGACCCAATTTCGACCCAAGCTTCGACCAGGCAGCTGGGTGGCTGTCCACCTCCCAGGCATCATCCTGCATGCTCCACAAGTGGAGTGATTCCACATGTAAGTCTTCGGGCTGGAGCTCAACAGCACTACAAACGGTAGTGTCCTCCAGGCAGCTTTTGAGCAGACCGGACATCCTCTCCCGTTGCTGTTCTGAGCCCCGCCTTAGCTGGTGTTGTCACCATTCCTCTTGTACGGTACAACAATGAATCATTGCAAGAAGTTTTTGCACTGCGTGCTTCCTCGGCACGGGAGAGATATCGTTCCCGACAAAGACAGGGCAAGAAGCCCGAGCCGGCAGCGCAAGCATGCGACAGCGACCATGAACTCATGCTGGGGCTACGTTGCAGTTTCAATTTATTGTGGTATGGGGTGCCAGCCGTGGAGACTGCTATCAGGTGAGTCTTTGTCCTTGGGCCATCGATTCAAAATAAAAGCGCGACCCTGAGTCACCGAGGATCCTCTCACCTTTCCAACAGGTCCTGACTGTGCATCTCTCACAATCGTGAATCATGAGTGCCTTACTAAACCACACTGCGAGTGTCGACAGGCAGCGTTGCTGCAGGCCTCGTCGGCAGTCAGCCGCCATCTTTTTTTGGCAGCCTAGACAAGATCAGGAGCCCAGACTATCTTCAGACAGATGCAAGCGGCTGCCTTCTCCAACTGCGGTGTCCGGAAAACCACTACGAGACCTTTCACCATGCTCAGCATCTCGACAAAGACCTCGGCCCACATTGAAGAAACTGCGGCGACTGCATGTTTCACTGCATACAGGCAATCACTCGCAGTCATTCGCATCTGATCGACTTCGCAAGAAACGTGCCGGAGCCCGTTCCCTGATGCTGGGTCAAAAACGCGAGCCAACTCGCGGTCTCCTCTCGCCACCTCCTTCATTCACGGGACTTGCAACGGAACCTTCAGACGTCACGTCTGAACGACGTAAAACCCTGATTTCAATCACTGACGACGGTAAGCAACAATTCAACGTGGAAGCTCCTTCAGCACCACTTTTTTCCTTGGCATCGTGCAGGCCAGCTACAACAAATGGAAGGGATCAGCACACCCAGATGCCCGACCTCGCGTCCTCATGCGGGAAAGATCGGACAGACTGCAAAGTTCCAAGGCAGACGAGCATCTGCTCGTCGCCCGTCACCCGGGCAGATGCTCTGGTCTTGTCCTCCACTCCGAGCCTTAAACTCCAACAACAGAACTTAGGAGCTTGGACGACTCTGTCCTCCACTCCCAGAGAGCGGACTCGAAACGATGTGTTTTCAGGCTGTGCCGTCACATCTACACTTCACCAGGGTCCAGTGCTCGGAAGGAAGGGTTGTTTAAGGTGGGCACATGTGGAGAGAATTACTCACCGTCGGAACCAAGTGAGATCAGCCAGTGCTGCTTCCGTTCAGACTCGAGGGTTCTGCGTGCGACTGTTTAACCATGTGTTTGCATGCAACCGTATCAGCAGCTTCTATCAGTGGTCGAACATTCCTGAACTCGATGTGGTCAGTGAGGTTTTCTCAATTACCCTCCGAAATGCTCAGTTTGCCTGTCACTGAGTGGAGCTCCTGCGTCTCATTCCATGAAGAAAAGTTGCAATCTTCGGGTAGTGTTGGTTCACTGATGATTCCCTGGACTCGACTGCCCTAGACTTCGTGCTCGGATCTCCGGCGGACAAACTCTGAATCGGAGCTGCAGGCACTTGCTAGCCGCTAGCACTTGCATCTATGTCAAGTCACTGGTATGATGGCGGCAGCTCCACATCAAGGCGGCTGCACCTGCATTCGATGTCGATTCGATTGGTCGCCACGAACCCTGGGCTGGTTTGCTTCATCTGCAACGTGCAGAATAAGTCTGCAATGCTAGTCCGTGCAAGGCTGTGCCTGGAATTCAAAGCGTTCTCCGTGCTGCTCTTCAGCCCGGCTACCAAAGCTGCCACATCCTGACACCACAATGCAGACGCTCAGATGCGGTCCGATGCCTGCGGCCACGAAGGCATACATTTTTTCAATGCTCTTGCATCATAATTGCAAAGGCCGTGGCACACTGGCCTTAGGCACCTCCCCCTTGGACTGCTCCTCGCCACCTCCGAAAAGGTTTCCTGATTCACCAGGGGTGGTTCCGAATGCCGTCCTTGCTTATACATGCCGGCCCGATGTTCCTCACGTTACGATCAACGAGACGCTCGTTCATACTCACGTTTGCACGTGGACAAGACTGCAAAAAGACTCCCTGATGTGTTGATGCCACTTGCGCGGTCGCTGGTTTCATGTAGTCACTGACAATTCTGTGTACATAATCTCCCGCCTAAATTGAAAGCTGCACGATGTACTTTGCCCTGACCTGCAACAAATATGGCAACACCATGTTTTGGTCTGTACGACAGTGCACTGACAATCTGGACGGACGGACGCATCGACAGGAACGCGCAGCACCAGGAAGCAAGCCTGTCACGTATTCCCAATGCCACGCTCATGTGTGCCATTTTGTACACTTCGGACACTGCTGTGCACGGGCCTGCATTGAACGAGGAG